TTTACTAGGGCCCATACACACCAAGAAGGGCGCTTACTATAAATCCTGTCGCTGTTAGTTTGCTGTTGCTAATTACTCGAGGAGGTGTGCCACTGGTTCACCTCGCGTGCTCGTTCTTGAACAGGTCCGTGAGTTCGTGTCGGACGTCTCCCTCACAGAAGTGCTCCTATAATGAGATTCCATACCGATTGTGTACATACAATCTTGTTGAAGGCTATTAAGGGGGTCCTCGCTAGTGAGATTTGTTCGCAAAACATCAACAGATTGTACGGGAGCGGGGCTATTCTTCACCTCTACTGACGCTGTTGACCTGAAGGACGCTGGACCACAGTAGGGTCTCCACTTCTTTCCCATTATTCGACATTTGAATTCAACTGGGGAGCTGTTTGCAAAAGGTGTATGTAAGGTTCGAGACAAACCCGTGGAAGGCAAGGCAGCCGACGGCCTTAGCGACTGAAATGCCCAATATTCACCCAGATTCATGGGCTCTGCTGTTTTGAAAAAGCTAGCAGCTAGGAAAATCAATATAAGCATGGATTAAGCGTTGTTTATGCTGGAGAACCATCAAGCTGAAACAGCGGGGGTGTCCCTGAGCGATGGTCACCGTAACAGGCCTAGCAACCAGCGCTGCGCAGACCAGTCATCGCTCAGGATATATTACGTGGCAGCCTACATCACCAGCGTTTAGGCAGATACACATTACATCTCCCAACGTTACCTATTTCCTCTTCATGCTAAAGGCTTTTCACTGGAAAGATATCTCGATAGAGCCGCGAAGATGTGCCGATTTCTTCTGCTCACTGGGACTTTTGCCCTGCTTCTCAGCATTACTGTGGCAGTAGATGTTTCCCGTGGACAAAACAGTCATTTGAGTGAGGGTGACAGTGAACTTCTTACACAGGAGGAGGCAACCATGACGCATGGGACAACGCAGGCCTCTTCATACAGGCGGCTGCGCATCTTCACGAGCATCTTTGTCCTATTCACTGTGATGGCTGTGGGGTACGCTGTTGTACAGGGCTATAAAAAGTTCCCTGGTGACAAGAGAAGTGGAGGCCGAACACCGCAGCAACCTACACTGCCCGCCGAAGAACAATACCATGTAAGTCTCCGCTTGCAGTAGACACGGTTGTCTCAGGCGCAGCATCACAACTTGAGTATTCCACATAAATAACGGATACATCTCTAGGAAGAAGTGAACGTTTAGGATCTTCCTTCTGAATGATCAAGGCCCAGTACGCCACACAATGTGCGCCCCCTCTAGCGGCCTGTGTAGCAACAAGCAACATCGTTTCCGGCCGAAAAAGTACACATGTCTTCGTTTTCACGGGATTAGTTAAAGAGTTGATCGTCTATTGTGTCCTGCTTGTGGCGGGGGAGAGGTACTCTCGCGGAAATGCGGCTTCATTCTGTTTAGCTTGTTACTGTAGACCTCAAGAAGAGCACACCGTTCGCGCTGTTCATCCAACGTGGTGGTGTTGGTGGCCAATCCCACTTGCGCTTTTATCTTTTCTCCCCAAGTTCAGTCTAGAATGGTTTCGGATACCTTCCACTTCTTGGTAACGACTTCGCTTCTGTTATTTTATAGAAGAAATGCATGACCCCATTTATATCTCCAGGCACAACTTGTAGACTCGCAACGTAATCATTTTACCTAAACAAAGAGAGGATGCGAACACAAGCATTCCTTGTTGTGGATATACACGGAATTGACAGGTAGGAAGAACCTAGTCATTATATCACCGTCGCTTTTGATCCCCACCTCAGAATGACGCCTTTATTCTGGACTAGTACCGCTAAAAGAGCTCGCATCAGATTGGTGAAGCAGAAGTTGGAGGTTAGTGTCAGTAGGGCAAAAGGCGTGGACAGGAATCCAGATTTTTCTTAGACGTGAATTTGATGTCGTGCAGCAGGCTGGCTTGTCTGATGCGACTTTCCACATTCTACTGTGGCAAGCGCACAGCAACTTGACGTTGGCAACATTGGAGATTGCTTGAAGTGGCACTTTTTGCGGAGCCGTGTGAGCTAGCTTACCAAATGGCTTCTGGCATAGTCATGGAGCAAACCTGTGGCGAGACTGATCAGATTTCGCACTTTAGCAAAATGGAACTCTGCGGACTTAAACTGGTATATACAGTGTGTTTATTGCGTCAGAAGTTTTGTACGAGCTCCAACTTGAGATGGACGATAAAATCTTTTGGAGCCACATGTGTCACACTATGCCGTAATACAATGTGCTTTTAGCAATGTCAAATACATGATGCCTATTTCCCGTAGAGTAGGAAAGATATTGTTGCCATCCACTGTAGCGGCGTTTATGTTTACCTGAGTGTTGCTTCAAGATGAAACGCTGCATGACTGGCCCCGAACGAAGTCAGTCACTTTGCCCGCTGAAACCCCATCGAACTAGCAGTGTGTGTTGATGGCAATGGGTACGCTGCAGAAGACAGTGGCGAGAGGCACCGTGTTGCGCGGGGTCTAATTCTCATTTCTGACGGCAATTATGGATTCCGGAAACGTGAACGCACGCAGGAATGTTACTATGCTCACAAACGGTTGGCATTCGCGCGTTGGGACAGTTAGGTTGCACAATGGCGTGCGCCGCTACTGCATCTGGACAGTGCACTGCCGGCTATACGTCCGGGACAAAGGACGCGACGCAGCTTGATCGCTTCCGTTTCATTGTTGGAGGTGCATTATCCTGTCATCATGCACAGATCCACAGTGTATTCTTGCACGTTTCCATCCACAAGATGCTCATCGTATGGGCCGTAAAGCCGAGTCTGCCGAGACAGCCTGTAAGTAATTTTTGGAGTACAAGAGAGATGTAAGAGACAATTGCCTTATTGGAAAAGACAGCGCATGTCAACACATTTTGTCGAGTATTCGAACATGTCGCCATCGCCAGCATACCCGCGATGCTCCTTCCAATGATGCCTATCCAATCTTTAGCAACCTCGTTAGATGCGTGAAGCAGAAATAGTCGGCGCATGGCGGTGCCATTTGAGGGCAGTGTTGGGAAGAAGGGATACAGAGTTGGCTGTGAATGCTCAAGTGCGCTCATTCCGACTTCGCTCACAGGAAGTTCGTTTCAGAGCGGGTCAGCAGCGGTGGCAGGGAACGGGACTGTGCATTGAAAGCTGTAGTATTGGACTGTTTTGGTATTGATGATTCGTGTTTTTCTGAGGGCACTTCGAAGCACTGCATGTGGTGCGCAGTTGGTGTGTGATGTCGGGTGCCATTGCTGGAGTAGGCAGGCGCACCGCGCTTTGGGTCGTATGTCTGAGTTCACAGGAGGTTCGTTGCGGTTGGGTGTTGGAGTAGTTGGGATTTAGGTTGGTTGGGTTGGGTGAATGTTGCATAGAGGAGGGATATTGTCGGCAGCTGGTGTGGGAGAGGAAAATGGGAGGGGAGCATGGGCGCTTTGGGTGGGTGGGCAAATAGTCGCGACGAGGTCAGCATGAGGAGAATTGAAGCGGATGGTTGCAGGCAGGAGTGGGGGGGACGCTTGTGGCGTGTGTGAGCTGCGGGCGTTCTTGGTTTAGACTGTGAGTGACGGTTGTAGGCGATGGGAGTGCGTCGTTGAAGACGCGAAGGGACAGCAGTTTGCGCAGATTGCGAGGGGGTTATTGCGTGTGGAAATGTAGAGGAGGTTGGTGGCGTGAATTGAGGTGTGCGCTTTGGGGGATGATGCGGTGAGAGTTCGTTAGAATGTAGGGTTGGGCGTTGTTGGATGTGGAGAAGGATGGGAGTTTGGGCAGGGATAGAGTGGGTTGTCGTGGACGTGCGTTTACGGGACGTTTGTGGCGTACGTGGAAAGGTGAGTTGTGTTGTGCGAGGGTCGAGGGAGGTGTAGGCGGGAGTGGTGTGAGGGCGAGGGAGGCGGCGATGGGTTTGTTTTGTTGAGTAGTGTGGACCGGCGTGAGGGTGTGGGAGGCGGGAGTGTGGCTGTTGGTGCTGCGAACTGAATGCGCAAGAAGTTCGTTAGATGGGTGAAGCAGAACTAGTTGCTGGGTGGTGGTGTCGTATTGGGGCGGTGTTGGGAAGAGGGGATGCGGATGCGGCTGTGCATGGCGAAGTGTGTAGAACGACAAGCGTGGATTGTGGCGACTTGGCTGACAGGAAGTTCGTTTCTGAGGGTGTTAGCAGAGGAGGGAGGGGAGAGGCCTGCGTGGACAGCTGTAGTGTTGTAGTTTGAGGCACTGCATGTGTTGCGCAGTTGGTGTGTGGTGTTGGGTGGCATTGCTGGAGTAGGCAGGCGCACCGCGCTTTGGGTCGTATGTCTGAGTTCACAGGAGGTTCGTTGCGGTTGGGTGTTGGAGCAGTTGGGATTTAGGTTGGGTTGGGTGAATGTTGCATAGAGGAGGCGGATTATCGGCAACTGGTGTGGGAGCGGGAAGTGGGAGGGGAGCGTGGGCGCTTTGGGTGGGTGGGCGAATAGTCTCGATGAGGTCAGCATGAGGAGAATTGAAGTGGACTGTTGCAGGAGGGAGTGTGCAGGATGTTTGTGGCGTGTGTGAGCTGCGAGCGTTCTTGGTTTAGACTGTGAGTGACGGCTGTAGACGATGGGAGTGCGTCGTTAAAGACGCGAATGGACAGCAGTGTCTGCACATTGCGAGGGGGTTGTTGCGTGTGGAAATGTAGAGGAGGTTGGTGGCGTGAATTGAGGTGTGCGCTGTGGGGGACGATGCGGTGAGAGTTTGGTAGAATGTAGGGTTGGGCGTTGTTGGATGTGGAGAAGGATGCGAGTTTGGGCAGGGATAGAGTGGGTTGTTGTGGACGTGAGTTTGGAGGACGTTTGCGGCGTACGTGGAAAGGTGAGTTTTGTTGTGCGAGGGTCGAGGGAGGTGTAGGCGGGAGTGGTGTGAGGGCGAGGGAGGCGGCGATGGGTTTGTTTTGTTGAGTAGTGTGGAACGGCGTGAGGGTGTGGGAGGCGGGAGTGTGGCTGTTGGTGCTGCGAACTGAATGCGCAAGAAGTTCGTTAGATGGGTGAAGCAGAACTAGTTGCTGGGTGGTGGTGTCGTATTGGGGCGGTGTTGGGAAGAGGGGATGCGGATGCGGCTGTGCATGGTGAAGTGTGTAGAACGACAAGCGTGGATTGTGGCGACTTGGCTGACAGGAAGTTCGTTTCTGAGGGTGTTAGCAGAGGAGGGAGGGGAGAGGCCTGCGTGGACAGCTGTAGTGTTGTAGTTTGAGGCACTGCATGTGTTGCGCAGTTGGTGTGTGGTGTTGGGTGGCATTGCTGGAGTAGGCAGGCGCACCGCGCTTTGGGTCGTATGTCTGAGTTCACAGGAGGTTCGTTGCGGTTGGGTGTTGGAGCAGTTGGGATTTAGGTTGGGTTGGGTGAATGTTGCATAGAGGAGGCGGATTATCGGCAACTGGTGTGGGAGAGGGAAGTGGGAGGGGAGCATGGGCGCTTTGGGTGGGTGGGCGAATAGTCTCGACGAGGTCAGCATGAGGAGAATTGAAGTGGACTGTTGCAGGCAGGAGTCCGGGGGACGTTTGTGGCGTGTGTGAGCTGCGGGCGTTCTTGGTTTAGACTGTGAGTGACGGTTGTAGACGATGGGAGTGCGTCGTTGAAGACGTGAAGGGACAGCAGTGTCTGCACATTGCGAGGGG